TAATACATTTCTCAAAAGTCTGTCTCAAGTTTGCACACAACAATAAGAGGAGTTACTCAGAAGCCAAAGACAGGATATTACTGATCCTAATAAGGTTTTTACCATTTACATGTAGCACTTCTGTAACGTACCATTCAAGTAAGTCTAGTAGGAACTTCTATTCATGTGGTGACTGAAGCTGCGTCCAAGTTGAGACACCAATAGTAGAATACATTAGAAAACTGCCTTTATTCAGTTTTATTTTGTCACGGTTCCCACCGTAACTTCCAGAGTGCCAAACGAGGTTGCCCCAGGAGTGCCCAGTAGCAGATTTTAACCTGGGGACTTTGCTATGTTACCTCTGAACGACCATTCACTTTAGTAATGCCTGCATCCAGCTCTGTCTTGTATCCAGTACTGGGGGCTGGACATGCATTGAAGTTTCTCCTGTCTCTCATGGTACACCTGATGTTGAGAGTCTCGTTAGCCAGGTATAAAGCACTGCCTCTCCCAGAAGGAAGTGTCAGTTCCTTGACTCTGGTGATCATACTGCTGTTTCGTGTTCTCCAGTTTACTCTTGACCTTGGCTTGTTGTTTCATTTATTCTGATTTCTGGCATCCTCTGACCTTTGGCTTCCCATGACGATTCTCCTGCTTTATCCATTCCTGTACTGCGACTTGTAGAATTATCCTGCACAGCCCCGTGCACCGACTCACAGGCCAGGTGAATTCTTGCCTGACTACCTCGGCCTGTGTTTACTTGCAAGGGTGAGCATACATCTCTGCCTGACGGACTCCCATCCCAGGTAAGCCCTGACATAAGGAACTGACCATATGGAGTCCACAGAGATGTGCTCACCCCTGTCCCAGCAAGTGTCCAGCCTGGCCCAGATTGTTTCGGAGCTGCAGCGAGAAATTTTATTTCTTAAAGGCACAGTACACCCAGCCCCGGAATCTTCTTATCCAGAACCCTATGTCATACTGCCTGACAGGTTTGACGGTTCCCGTTCCACTTTCTCAATCTTCAAGATGTACTCCAGCTAGAAATAGCACCTCGTTGGACAGGGAGGAACCTATGGAGATCGGATATACCAGGACTAGGTTGCCTCTAAAGGAAAAAGACCGTAGGAGAGCCCATGGCTTGTGCCTATACTATGGAGAAAGAGGGCATTTCATCTCTCTCTGACCAATTCGTCCACCCAGGCAAAGACCTCTTCTATTGGGTGCCCTACGGACTTATCCAGTCTTCTTAGAAACACTGTCTAGAAGCTGCCAAGGTTGCTGCCAGCCATGTCCCCGTTCTGTGACACAGAAGGGTACTCAGACTATGGTGAATAACATACCCAGTACTCCTGACAAGTCTGAACCTCTGCCGGAAGACACACATGTTAAAGCTGGTACCATAACCACTTCCTGTCAACCTAAAGAGGAGTTACCTACGGACTGTACCTATGCCTCCAATTATACCATGGTTCGCAAAACAGATTTTGTGATGTTTGAAAAAGCTTTGAAAGCCACAAACTCTGGTCCTGGTAATGTACCTAAGGAAAAAGGTCTGTAGCAATTGTAATGTATTCTACCTAAGTCCTAAGAATACTTCAGCACACACTGAAAGGTGTGGCTACAAATATCAGTAGGGCAGCAGAAAAAAATAATAAACACTTGTATACCATAGGGCAGGGGTAGGCAAACGTTTAGTATTACTGTACTAAAACAAAATCTTGAAGTGCCTTGGCGTGCCAGTCCTATTATTTTTTTATTTGAGGTGTGTGTTACCTTATTCCGATTATGTTATGTATGGGGGCTGCAGTTACTTTGTAGCATTGCATATGTATATCTTCAAAAGTAGTCTGTGATATCGTGTATGATACCTATCTATGGGGGCTGCTGGGGAATTGTGTGTGTGTGTGTGTGGTTGATATGTCACATATCAACCACACCTGTGGTATTGCATGTGAGAAGCTGCTTGTGGGGTTGTGTGTGTGTGTATGTGTATGTGGATTGTCAGTTGTGTAGTGTTTGCAGGGACAATGCCTGCACCTTGTTGTGCCTTCCTCTTTCTAATATTAGAAACAAGTCTGTGAATGGAATTATAGCTGAACTAGATTTAAACAAAAATATTAGTTTGAGGATTGGATATGCAGTTTTTGAAAGAAATGGAGTAAAGAGGTAGAATTATAGAGTACGTTATAAAATCATTGTACAGGCACACAATGCTCCTATCGGCACACAAAGTTCACTGCATCCAAAGATGGCTTAGAAAGCTAATGGTGACATGTACATTGGCTTTTGTCATTATAGTGATCAAATGACAAAAGAATGATAGATAGGTATAGATGTGTGCTGTGTATTCACGATAATTGTAACATGATAATTGTAATCCCCAAACATACTATATTTTAACATACCTCACTTAATTTACCACTCATTAACATGAACCAATACCTATTTATTGAGGCACATCCAAAAAAGTAAAATTTTAATAATCGTTAATAAACCATTATTTTCTAAATTCTAACCCTATTTAAGCAGCACAGGTCCCATTCACTCTGTAAAACACTTTTGATAAAGCCCGTCCAAGGAGAAATGCGTTAAGTGTACTATTTTATATTATTATTTTACCTTTTATCGTTTAAAAAAACAAAAAATATGTTTTTATTGGACCTGCTCTTCTGCTGCTGAATCCTGAGCAATATGTACTTGATGAGGATAATACCACCCAAGCTAACTGGATTGAGCAAACCTAATTTTGCTCTGAAGAATGTGTATAGGTATTTATTGCTTTTACTGTGCTTTTACATTCTATTTTATGATATGCACCATTGTGGCTTTTTATTTCTCTTTTATATATAAATGGAGGAATATCCACATCACAAATACCCACATCACCAATATCCTAGAGTGGGGATCATACCACTTTACGCATTACTTCTGGAGCCAATACTTAGGCTCCATAATTTGTGAGTGTACACCTATCCATTACCTTTGCCTGCTTATCAGCTCTTCATACTACACTATATACTTGTATTTTTTTTTTTTTTATGAGGATACCCATCGCTGTACGGAAAACCTGAAAAATCTGTACCACAATATATATATATGTATATATATATATATATATATATATATACGGGGATAATTCCGCCTAGGCATGCAAGTCAGATCTGTATTTAAGCTCCCTGAATGTGTGAGTGAACAATTTTTATTTTCCTTACTCTGTCAAGAAGTTGTTAACTTACTACACTATCAGTCCTTTTTGTATTTTCTTTTTTGTTATTGCATACATTCCCTAAAGGACACTTCAGGTGCTGCACCTTCTTTTCCTGTTTTATCCAACTTTAATAGTTGCTGAATAAATGTATGGTGTATACAAGACTTAAAATTGAATGCCATGTAAAGTCAGAAAAAAAAGTATTTGATACTTTGCTGATTTTAAACGTTTGTCCACTGACAAAGAGATGATCAGTCTATAATTTTAACGGTAGGCATATTTTAACAGTGAGAGACAGAATAACAAAGAAAATCCAGAAAAATGTGTGTCAAAAAAGTTATACATTCATGTCAATGAGTGAAATAAGTATTTGATACCCTATCAATTAGCAAGATTTCTGGCTCCCAGGTGTCTTTTATACAGGTAACAAGCTGAGATTAGGAGCACTCTCTTAAGGATAGTGCTCCTAAACTCAGCTCGTTACCTGTATAAAAGACACTTGTTCACATAAGCAATTAATCAGATTCCAAACTCTCCACCATGGCCAAGACCAAGCAGCTGTCCAAGGATGTCAGGGACAAGATTGTAGACCTACACAAGGCTGGAATGGGCTACAAGACCATCACCAAGCGGCTTGGTGAGAAGGTGAGAAGGTGATAACAGTTGGTGTGATTATTCGCAAATGGAAGAGACACAAAATAACTGTCAGTCCCCCTCGGTCTGGTGCTCCATGCAAGATCTCACCACATGGAGTTTCAATGGTCATGAGAACAGTGAGGAATCAGCCCAGATCTACATGGGAGGATCTTGTTAATGATCTTAAGGCAGCTGGGCTCATAGTCACCAAGAAAACAATTGGTAACACATAACGCCAAGAAGGACTGAAATCCTGCAGCACCTGCAAGGTCCCCCTGTTCAAGAATTTATATATACAGGCCTGTCTGAAGTTTGCCAATGAACATCTGAATAATTCAGAGGAGAACTGGGTGAAAGTGTTATGGTCAGTTGAGACCAAAATCAAACTCTTTGGCATCAACTCAACTCGCTGTTTTTGGAGGAAGAGGAATGCTGCTTATAACCCCAAGAACACCATCCCCACTGTCAAACATAGAGGTGGAAACATTATGCTTTGGGGGTGTGTGATAAAGTGAAGGCAGATAGGCCTATAACATTTAACCCCAGGGGGAGTATGTGTAGTATGTGTTGTAGGCAACACAAACCAAAGTTTAGTTATGGGCCCCTGGGGTGGAGCATTTGGAGAGCAGGGTGGGCCAATGCTCCAATCCACAGTTTACATACAACTGGGAGAAATAAGTTCCAGGCCAGAGTTTTGATCTGTCTCCAACCCACTGCTCAGCTGCAGATAATCAGCTGCAGCAGTGGGAACAAACCCCTCCCTGCTACGCAGGTAAAGGGGGACTGCTGGCTTCCTCCCTGGAAGCGGGTAGGAGAGACGCTGTTCTCTCCTGTGAGAGAGTCAAGGAGACTGAGCACTGGGAGTGCAGAAGGAAGCAGTCAAGGCTGGCTTGGAGCACTGTTAGTGCACAAAGGAAAGCAGTTAAGGCTGGCTTGGAGCACTGGGAGTGCAGAAAGGAAAGCAGCAGGCTAGCTGAGAGCACTGGAGTGCAGAAAGGAAAGCAGAGTGTAGCTATCTAATAAGGTTGGTGCAACCCAACGATATGTTTTTGTTAGTTTAACTCTGATAGAGAGGGATATTAAAAGTGAGTCAGTGCTCAGACGAGCTAGGTTTTTGTTTAAAGGGGAAACCTGTTATATATATGTATTAGTTGTGTTGCTGTGTGGACTTACCAATAAAATTGCCTGTACTATATGAAAACCAAAGGACTGTGCCTGTTGTTTACCCAAGAGGACCGTGCTATCTGCAAACAAGGATCACAGGGTGTTTTTCTGCTAAGGGGACAGGACAACTGCACCACATAAAAGGGAAGATTGACAAGAGCAAAGGACCGTCACATCTTGGGTAAGAACCTCCTTCCTTCAGCCAGGCCATTGAAAATGGGTCATGGATTGGCATTCCAGCATGACCATGGCCAAAAACACACAGCCAAGGCAACAGAGGAGTGGTTTAAGAAGAAGCACATTAAGGTCCTGGAGTGGCGTAGCCAGTCTCCAGACCTTAACCCCATAGAAAATGTGTGGAGGGAACCAAAGGTTCGAGTTGCCAAACCTATACCTTGAAACCTTACTGATTTGGCGAGGATCTGCAAAGAGGAGTGGGACAAAATCCCTCCTGAGATGTGCACAAACCTGGTGGCCAACTACAAGAAAGGTCTGACCTTTGTGATTGCCAGCAAGAGTTTTGCCACCAAATACTAAGTCAAAGGGGGTCAAATACTTATTTAACTCATTTACATGCAAATCAATTTATAACTTTTTTGACATGCGTTTTTCTGGATTTTTTTTTTGTTATTCTGTATCTCACTGTTAAAATACACCTACCAGTAAAATTATAGACCGATCATTTCTTTGTCAGTGGGCAAATGTTCAAAATCAGCAGGGGATCAAATACTTTTTTCCCTCACTGTACAGGCCTTACTTGCCATTGCAAGTCTGGAGGGCCAGGGGCAAACTTAGCAAGGATGACTTTTTAACTCACCAGAGATGAATTTTCGCCCACTAAATCTCGATAATGAGAGCACTTGAAAACGTGCAGTTTAAAATTTTGAGTAATTCTTTTGCCAGTTCTAAATAATTACTTCCAGATAGGTACAGCCATACCTACAGTTATATGAAAATATTATATATGATAACACTTAGATAATGAAATATGATAGTCTTCTCAGGAAGTACAGAATATATTTAATACATTGCACTGAATTTAAGTGGTTAGACTGTTAAGTGAGACACTCTGAATGTCAGTGGTTAGAACATGAAGCAATTACAGAGCTCAGAAAAGATTGTAATGAAACCAAAGTTGTGTATTTCATATGCAGGAAAAAGGTTAAGACAAAAGATTCGCAAGCTATTCTCTGTTTGCTGTAGCTTTTTCCAACAGTGTTCAGAATCAGTGGGATTAATTAATTAATAGTGAGTTAAATATAGTGCTGTAGAACATTTTTAGAATATAAGACTATCTAAAAAATAGTGTTTTGTTTCTAAACATGTTGATTTTAACTATATTATAACTATATCATCTAAGATATAATAGTCAACTTGGAAAAATTCATAAAAATGGTTGTTCTCAAACTGTCCAATCTGCATATAAATTAGGTACTTTGGTTTGCATTTCACTTCAACTCACTGCTAGTGACAAGTCGTAAAAATAACATTTTTAATAAATAATGTGCTGAAATTATTAAAAAAGTTACTTACTCAAGTAATAATTGTAGAGAATTCAGTTACATCAATTTACAACTGGAATCTTCCAATTAGAAACTGAGCCTATTTACATCTTTTAAAAACACCTTAAGAACTAATCACTTTTTCCATTGAAATTTAACATTTGTAACTGGGAATTAAGAACTGTGTGATATACCAAATGTTCTTGGCAATGTATTTAGTCACATCTACCTTTGAATCATGCCTTTTTCTATACAACAAGTACCTCTATCTCATGCTTAGTATCATCTTCTAGATCACAAGATGCATATAACTTCATGCACAGGCCCTTTCGTAAACAGATAGGAGATACACAGATAAGAGATAAACAGATAGGAGTTGTAAATAATGAGACACAGAAAATGGCATAATATATTTATAATGGACAGGGCCGGTGCAAGGATTTTTGGGTACATAGGCAAAGATGCATTTTTCCGCCCACCTCCCCCCCCGCCCCAAAAAATAACATTGTGACGGACCGCCTGGCACCCTGACTGTGCGCCTCTGCCAATCACGCTTCCTAGTATCACCGAGTACTATAATCATCGCATCAGACACCATAAACACTGTAGCCCCCCTTAGCCGCGGCCGTCCCTTCCCACCCTGGACCAACACCTGGATCCATCTCCCTCTGAGAAGACCTCTCTTCCAAGAGAGTATAATAATTCAAAGAACAGTAAAGAAATCCCCCCCACACATACACACACATGAGCCAAGGCTTAATGCTGGGAAGTAGTCTGTTTAATGCAGGCAAACACTTACAATTTATACACATATTTAAATCCCCAACAGCCTCATTTACATACAATAGGTTACATAGAGCACTATAGTACAAGGAAGGGTGGGGTCAGACAATAGCAAGGACTGATGGGAGATTGAGGAGGGACAAGGCAGCTAGTTTAAACTGGTATGGCAGTGTCCCTGGGACAAGCCCTGCTGGGGAAAAAAAAAACAGGAAAAAGGGGAAGGGGAAGAGGCACAGACAAGCAATACACTCAACATACTCCTCCTCTGTGTCTGGGAGATAATGGAGTCAGGAACTGTACAAACTCAATTATCTCCAGGTACAGAAAAACACACAATTTACAAACACCCCAAAAGTACCCCCAAGATCCATGGAAACCACACAACAGTCACATCCCTGGATAGCCCTGATTTGGGTAACCAACATATCCAAAAATCACCCAGATCAGTTCAGTGGTTTGGTTTTTCCATGGAAGTCCCTTTTTAACATATCTTTTTGCAGGGCTCATAGCCTTTGGGTAGGAGGCTAGCCAGCAGGCCCCTCCAGGAACATGTGGCAGAGGCATTTCTGCCATAAACATCTTCACCTATGTGCCTCTTAACTCGCCCCTCTCCCCTCCCCGTCCATTACTGGTCACCTCCCTTCCCTGTCCCTTAGTGTTCCTCTCCCCTCCCCCTCTTTTCCCTGTCCCTTGGTGTTTCTCTCCCCTCCCCTTCCTGTCCCTTGGTGCACCCCCCACCCCCTTAGTGGTCACACTACCCTTCCTAGTGTGCCTCCTACCCCTCTTGTAGTGTTGCCGAGTGGAGCAGATCCCCTACAGGAGCTTCAGTTTTTTGTTCCCGGCCGGATTGACAGGAAGTGCTCTCAGTGAGCACCTCCTCTCAGTCTGGCCGAGTACAGGAAACAGATGCTCCTGTACCACGCTCAGCCACTCTACACTTAGTGGATCACAGCAGGAGGATACACTGAACTTTTGAAAAAGCCCCAGGAGAAGGAGCGAAACGCGTCACATGCCGGCATCAGGAAGTGCAGAGCAAGCTCATATCAGAGAAAGCAGCCAAGCCGAAAGGGAGATAAGATAACATAATTATTTACCTACATATCTCACACTTCATTAAAGGCTGGTGAGCTAACCTGGGATACTGCTGCTCTGGGCTTTGATTCTTCATTTTATAACTGTTTTGGAATAAAGTCTGTTTTAATGAAAAGTCCGGCTACAAGTGTATCCATTGGATCCTGCGCACACTAGGGGCTGATCCGCTCTGAGCTTTATAATATGGAGTGGTACTTCAACCACTCGGTATTTGTGAATTTTAATTTTGGGGATTATTTTATTTCATTTATTATGTCCATACAATATTTCGCTAGGTGTTCTTCTGTTTATTGTTTTAAATTCTACTTACTGTGGACTTCCCCATGTTTTCAAGTATTATCTTGTGTATTTAGATTTTATCACAAAAATCACTGGTTAAATATAGTGTTTTAAACACTGATACACTCTGATTGGGCACTTTTTTATTTATAAGAGATTGTATGGTTAATTTTCTTTATATATATTCTTATATTTTTATACTATAATATTGTAAGATTTCTTTAATTTTGCACACCAATTTTAATATTTGTAAAAAAAATTGAATCTTATTACCAGGATTTTTAATTGGTTGCTGCAACTTGTTTATATGCCCATTATCTGTATTTTGCGCCATCTTGCATATATATATATATATATATATATATATATATACACACACACACACACTGGGTTGTGTTAAACTAATCAACAGTTTAACACAGGACCTAGCTGTCGAGGTTCTCCCCGTGACATGCAGACAGTGTGGTCGCTTGGAATTTAACCTGGGTCCTTCTGCATCCTAAGCCTGCATTCCTGCCTCTGAGCCACTTATGCATCTAGCCTTGTTTATCTGGCATTGCCTGCAGCACTAGGGGCTGGACTTCAACAGTGGCTCCGACCTGACAATTCAAGTCCACCTAAGGCTGATTTATCATTATTCCAGGTATATAACACTGCCTCTCCCTGAGGGCAGGGTCAGTTTGTTGTTTCCTGTATCCTGTTGCCTAAGACTTACTTGGCTTGTGGCCCCTGTGTCAGGATTACAGTATGATCCAGAACGTAGAATTGTGTAACACAGAGGACTGATAGGTAACGTATACCAGACCTTAGAATGGCTGGACTAACGTACCACAGCATAGTCAGAAATAGCCGAGGTCAAGGGATACAGAAAGAGACACAATGATAAGGAAAAGCCAGGGGTCTGGGATGCCAGAAAACAGGGAAGTCAATATCAATGCCAAAGTCAAATAATCAGAAAAAACAGAATCAATAACGCGCTCTCAGACAACCACAAGGGAAAACATGACAGGGCACAGAGCAAGGGAACTGGGCCTAAATACCCCGCCTGTGGATTTGATTGGTTGTAACCAGCCTTTGACCCCAAAGGCAGTTACCAGGTTCCTATTTGCATGATTGCTGCTCAGCACAAACCCTCCTGTGGATTGACTGCTGCTCGGCACAACTTTTCCAGTCAGGACAGTAAATGCCGTTAATCACATTTTTAAGTGCAGATGAATACGTGATACCCTGCTTGTGGAATCTTTGTTATTGCCTGTTTGCTGTCTGCCCTGACCTTTGGAACCGTGCCTGACTACTCTTCTGGATTTGCACTTGTCTATTTCCTCGTTCCTGGTTATTGTTCCTGTCTAGCCCCCGTGCACACATTCACAGCCAAGGTAGCTTCTTACCTGGTTATCATGGGTTATGTTTATCTGCAAGGGTGAGCGTGCATCTCTGCACTTCAGACTCCAACCAAGGTAAGACCATGACACTAGCAAGCTACATTGGTTATGGTACTTGGTGTGTTTCTTGAAGTATAACATTCAGATTTTCTAATTGTAGGTATCCGGTTGTTGTTAGTAAAAACCAAA